TCCGCATCCGCTAGATACGCATCAGGTTGGCACTACATTCACTATTTGATTAATTCCCAGCATGCAGTACCGGGACCTGCCTCGGCTTTTGACATCCACCTACGGCAGTGAGGGATCCCACAGTCCAGATTGGCGGGAAGTTGAAGGTGGCAGCTGCACACCTGTGCTGACCCAGTGGCAATCGCGGCTTCGAGGAGCAATCAGTTGACCTGGGTAGTAATTTATACAGCGTGGCGTCGTATATTGCAAAGTATGGGGCTGCATATTGCGTCTTGACCATCTGGACGCACGGCGGCAGGTTGAAGCGCTGACGCTATTCTAGGCTTGACTAGCCGCGCCGCCTGAATGCTCTTCGAGAACTGTGCCACCGTTCTGATCGGTCCTTCATCGTGATGTGATAGTGAATCCCGCGTGCCTTCTGCGGGCCTGGCCGCGCTGTCAGCCTCGATCGAACGGCGATTCGTCGTAGCGCTTCGACATTCCACGTGCTGCGAGTGCAACAAACAACGTATCAGACCACCAAAGTTGAAGGAGTCGGTACCCCGCATAACACGGCAAACCTATGTCTGGAAGCGAGACAGGGGTTCAGGTTCCCCAACATTACCCAGTCCGGTATACACGAAGGACGCCATGGTTGCTCAAGTTCAAGTGCAAGCTTTCTTATCGTCTCACGACGAAGTATATCGCTGTGCCACCAGGGCGCAGAGATCTCGAGCAACGGCTAAGTATCACTGGGACAGACCTTGGTGAAGATCACGAAGGGAAATCCTTCATGATGAACAATGAACCTCGGTGGTATTGATGCAAAGACTGGAATTAATCCGTAGAGTCATGTGTAATGGTAGTAGTAAAGATCAGCCAGCTCATCCGACACCAGGCAGCAGGTACACTTTTGAGGTAAAAATACCGAATAGATCACGACTCCGCAGAACCCAAGAGTGCCAATATCCAGCCGGCTGGATGGAGCAGGGTGAGCAGCCACCATCTGACCGTAAGCGAGACGTCAACCGCCAACAGCTCCGTGCGGCCCTGCGTTCCGGGTAAAGTGTTGTGCAACTTCAACCTGATCACGCATCATGTGGTTCTTACGGGGCTTTCGCATCTGCGAATAGGAAGAACATAAAGTACGAATTACCGGAAATACTTGTCCTCGATTGGCTTCACTGGAACCACCAACCCTATTACTCCACACAGTCTATGGACGCCATGGACCGGGATGTCAGAAGGCGAACGTCCAGTTCGGTCAGGCCTCGAAGGAGTGATCATACCCGCAGCCACTGGCGATGTCTAGAGCCTCGGACGCAGCCATGGCAAGCACTCATAATCTAGCGGAGCCCACATCCCCTGCAGACGCTTTTGGCTGTCTCGTCTCCCTACATTGACGATCTGCTTGTTCAGTCTTGCGATCGCACGTACTCTCACTCCAAACAACGTTCACGCTCCGCTGTCGTCACCCCGGATCGACACACATCCCGGCATCTCCATCCCCACGCGCCCGCACCCCACATTGATCACAGCCGACGGTCGCAAACCCAACACAGCCATGCCGAAGGTATTCAGATATCTGAAAACGGCCCTTGCGCCAAACATCGGAAACGCACAACCACGGGAGTCTGTCGACAACAGTAATGCGTCGCGCAAAGCATCCTTCACATCTTCGGCCGACGATGCATGGCTGCCAGACTTTGATCCACTTACGATTTCGGCGTTCGAGCTTTCCGAACTCATGAATGCACAAGCCCTCACAAGTGTGCAGATTGTGCGATTGTATTTGAAAGAAATTGAACAGCACAACAGAAGAGGAAGACAATTACGTGCATTGATCTCGGTTGCGCCAAAGCATGAAGTGATCAAGATGGCTAGGAAGCTGGACGATGAGCGGGCAAGAGGCAAGATAAGAGGCCCATTACATGGTATCCCGATAGTGTTGAAAGACAACATTATGACCGATGAGAAGCTAGGCATGGATACCACAGTTGGTATGTGGATAGTTAACTTGGATCCAGGCCAGTGACTTACTGCTGTGCAGGATCGTACGCTTTCGTAGGATGCATACCCAAGAAAAGCGCAACAATTGTCGAAAGACTGGTCAAACGCGGCATGATCATCATCGGAAAATCGAACCTGACTGAATTCTGCGGTCTCAAGAACCCTTCTATGCCTCCTGGATGGTCAGCAGTCGGTGGACAATGTCAGTCGCCGTATGTCTCAAGACACATCGCGAAAAGGAAGCTACATTGGGAGCTTTCCGCACCGGGAGGATCATCAACTGGATCCGCGGTCGCCGTAGCCTCAGGTTTCAGCACCCTGGCCATCGGAACAGACACCATCGGATCGTTAATCACGCCCGCAAACCGAGCCGCGCTCTACGCTCTGAAACCCACAGCTGGGCAGATACCAATGGACGGCATCTTCAACCTGAGCAAGACATTCGACGCCGTCGGCGGCATGGTAAGCACACGCGGATGCGTCAGCTCGTACTCCACACACTGACGGCATCATAGGCCAAATCAGCAAAAGACCTTGTAGCACTAATGGACGCCATGATGGTCCCCACCAACCGCGAAGAACACGCAAGCAGTCCACACAGATCGTTCAAGATCAAGCCGGATTTCGGGACGCTCCGCATCGGTATCTGCGAGCCGAGTATTTGGAAGGCGTGGCGTAAAAGCGGGCGGATCAATGCTGACGCCGAGCGATTCATGGTGAGTTAGCGCTTACCTACCTCTGCGTATGGAAGTATAGAACGCACGTTTTGGTGCAGGGGTTGGTGTTGTGTTGGATCATGCAGTGCTGACATGGTGCAGACGCAGAAATACGATATGATTGTTCAGAGTATGATCGAAATGGGCGTTGATGTTGTGTATCCGGTGGAGTTGCCGAACCAATCCAGTTTGACGATTGATGGCAAGAACTGCTTTGAGCCTGTTGTTTGTTAGTATCTTCCTCTGTTGCGCTGGGTGTATACTGATACTGATACGATGTAGACTCCGAGTTTAAAGATTGTCTAGCAGAGTTCATCCGCGACTTCAAAGTCACAAAGATGCACTCGCTGGCCGAAATCATCAACTTCAACCTCGACCACCCCGAACTCTGCCTGCCACCCAGTACGTGCCCTCCAAACCACCCCATCCTCCCATCTTACTAACACCGCCCAGCCTGCCCCGACCAAAACGACCTAATGGCAGCCCTCCAATCCACAACCAAACGCGAAGAAGTAAACGCCGCACGCCAACACCTCCAAACCGCCGGCGGCCCCGAAGGCCTCGACTACCTCTTCACAACCCTCTCCCTCGACCTCATCGTCGCCCCCGGCGACGCCCCCCTCTCCGCCCTCGCAGCCGCAGCCGGCTACCCCACAGCCGCCTGCCCCCTCTCCGCGCTCAAACTAAACGGCCAACCCTTCGGCATAACCCTCGCCTCGCGCCCCCACACCGAACACACCCTCCTCCACTTCCTGACCGCCTACGAAAACATCTTTCCGCCCCGCGCGCTCCCCATGCCGTTGAGTTCGGTCCCGTTGCAGGATCCGCACCCGGAGCCGCTGCCGGATCAGCCTATTGTGGATTTGATATTGCATGAGTGGGATACGAGGCGGTTTAGCTGTAGTGCGGATGCGTTGGCGGATTGGCTTAATGCGAGATGGCGGAAGAGTGGGTATGAGTTGAGTGCTGAGACGGTTTGTGAGGTTTTGCGGAGTAATGGGAGGATTGCGTTTAGGGGGCTGGGGGATGATGCTGAGGGGGCGTTTTCGAGGTGAGGGGGTTGTATGGTTATGGTTGTGGTCACGGTTATGGGTGTATTTTGGTGTAAGGTTCAGTTATGTAAATTAGCGCGGCGTCTGGTGAGTTGGGCTTTGTGATGTTGTTGGTACCTAGGTAGGGTTTAGTTGGGGTGTTGGGATGTTAGGTTTTAGCAAGGGATCTCCACAACCACTCGCTTCTCTGTGAGTCACAGCAGAATCTTCACGCTACATCCCACCACTCGCTTGAACTCCCACACGAAAGTTTTGAGAATTGATTGTGATGATGCAGTGCATTGCGAACCCGTCAGCAACGTACTTGCGGTTATATAACATCAAATTTGCAATTCTTCCATCAACCAATCAACCACAAAAGCTGCTTGGCGCAGCGGAAGCGCGCCGGGCTCATAACCCGGAGGACCTCGGATCGAAACCGAGAGCAGCTAGAATTGATTCTTTCTTTTTTGCCCTTTTTTGCCTTGCGCAGCTATCAATTCACTCCATCTCACACATGCGATCTTCTCTCCATTGAAATTCTTTTTGCATCAATTTCGCACGCAGAAATTGAGATGTTACCCAGATGTTATGCATTCTGTGATGAGATACAGGCACTGAAGGCTGGAATGTACAATCCGTTACTCGCCTGTCGCGCTTCTGCTGCGCTAAGCAGCTTCTGAACACCTAAGCATAGTCGAGGATACAGAAATAGGTGGCCGCTGAGACCCTTGCGGATGAACACCCTCTCGCCATGTACACACTCCTTCCAATGAAGCAAAGGCATCGACTTGTCCCCAAAGACGTTTAACAAGAAAGGCGAGTTCAGACAACATCTAACATCCTTTCGCTAGCAAGCTTCAAGTATGGTACTCCTATTCGTTGCCCTGCCCGGAGGTCATCGCGCGGCCCAGCTTCCATTGTCGTGGCCTTCATCCAATCCTGTCGCGTACCACTAGCCTACGGCATCGCCACCCTGTTAAGATGAGATCAAAGAACCTGTTATGCGAAGATATTGCCTTTTTACACGTGGTGCGCATGACCAAAACCTATCGTCGAGGTATACGCTGCAATCACGGTAGCTGTACGCAGTGCTAAAATATGGCTTGGGGGTATTCGCTGATTTCTACGCCTTTAGGCATTCTAGCGAAGAAAAGTAACATATCTCTATAGTAGTACTTGGTCTTTTGTACAGCTATTGAACAAATACATATATGCTGCAAATTGATAGTGTCTAGATAATTTACGGTACTAGTTGAAGACCTCATGTAACTGTAACACTTCTTCGCGGGAATTGCGAGAAGAAGGTGTGCGCTTCCTCTTCAGTCTTGAAGAAACCGTCGACCAGACCGATGCGGCGGTAATTAAAGCCTCCGTCTTCTACTGGCACTAGAACGATGCCACGAAAGTGCCAGGTAGGAAGCTCATTCCGCCATGTACATATAGGCATGCAGAAGGCTTGTTCCACCATGTCGTCCTGGGTATCGTAGATGATCTCGGTGTCGTGATAGACCGAGTCATCAGTCTCAATAACGAGAGGTTTCTCGAGCGCTGAACTCGGATCAAGATATTGGAAGTGGGCCAGGAAATTATTGTTGTCCAGAATGCCCTTTTTCCCTGTTGTGACGATGGTGACCCAGGGACCTCTCAGCTCGAGCTGTCCGCCAGTGACTTCGCCCGTATCTAAATCATTCAGACAATGCGTTATCGCCATGAAATCCGCATCGCTGATATAGTATGTCAATCTGTCCCTCTTTGGCAAATTAGGGTAAATTATCGCTCCATCAACTGACATTGGAGACCAAGAAGGAGCCCGATAAACAGCTGGTCTCCTACCAAATCCTCTCATTCGCCAGCACAACCCAAAGCGAACATCTTCGTACCATAGGCCAGCAAGATATGTATGGTATTTACCAGGTCGGCGAGTGTTCAACGCTGATCTCATGTCATTTGCCAAACCAGATATAGCCACAAGTTTGTCAGACGCATAAGTGAGTTGGCAGGTACTGTATATGCGCAGTGTATCATACCACTCCCTGAGAAGGTCCTCATAAGGGTCTCTGCCGTGGCGAAATTGTATGTCACCAATAAACAGTTTCCATAGTCTTGTTCGTCCGCCTTCCAATACATGACTCTGTTTACCAACATCCAAAGACTCCGGGGTTTTGTCAGATGCGCGTTGTTCGCGACACTCCCAGAAGACTTGATGTGACCCAAAGTGTAAGACACGGGGTGATAAGAGACGTTCTTGAAGACACCAGCCACGCTCCATCGTGACGTTGCCCATCTGGAAAGACTCTGCCTCCTTCCTTTTTTCATCACGATGTACAAAAGGCACGGGATTGTCGCACGATGTGTATGCGATATTGACGATAGTTGGCTGGACTCTGACAGGGTCTCGTGCGAAGAACAGGCCAGGATTGTCGTGAGTCCCCGCAATAGCTGAAATGGTAAGGTAGGAGTTGCGGTAGATAGCTTGCATTGTAGAAGCTTCGGCTCGCCAATCGTGTAACAGATCCTGTATAATACAGATTGCATCAATCCATATATATCGGATACCCAGCCATGATGTGACATCAATGGCATCGACATATGTTTTTGGAAGGGAACTGAGTGGCAATCCAGTGCGCATCGTATCGAATGTAGACTCCAAAAGACGGATCTCTCCTTTTGTCTTCGTGGCACCCCAGCGATACGACAGTGCAGTGTATGTTGAGGAAGGAGGCACCTCTTCTCGTAAAACTAGGCGACAGGTAGTGGGATCGCTGATATCGTTGATCTCAAGCAATCTCGTAGGCAAGAAAGCAGAGTCACTGGCTTGTCCGCAGTATACATGATTTGCGAGGCAATTCTTATCCCATTCGTTGACCAGCTTCCGAGTGCACTGGCCACCAGTGTTGTCGTCCAGCTCGAGGGTCAACTTGTTGCGTTTCTGCACAACTTCGAGGGGCTTAAGATTTGATGACAACCGATGATACCCTTCGCTGCTCAACAGATCAATTTTTAGCACTTTTCCATTGACTGACATTTTAAATGTCGTGAAATATTCATCGTCGGTTGTTGTAACTTCATGCCCATCGTATCTAGAGGCAGCAGAGAAGCTGAAGTTAACACAGACTAGGCACTGCTGTTCCATGGACTGTATTAATGAATCACGTGTGCGGTGATGCCCAAACTCATAATTCTCGATGTCGAACCGGGTGCAGCGTTCTCTGAACCGGTTGCCCCGAGAGCTGTCATCTTGTACTGGTAAGACTCGAAGGCGCGGCGTGACAGTGGGGTCGTGTATTCCCTCCAGACATCGCTTGCAAACATCGCAAAGCATCTTGGAAACGTTCTTCGCGAGCGTGAAATGAGTTCTGAAAGGAGGTACCAATGTAGGGCGTTCGAGGGTCTTTTTGTTGTGCTCCAGGCTCGCCGTGAAGTCGATGCGAGTTCAAAAATCATGGGCACAACTTCGCCAGGAACGTAGATGCACGACATGGCTAATTTGTTACAGATGGATGGTGACGTGGCGGTAGATGTAGGTGTGCGGCACAGTAAAAGGTCCAAGAGAAGTACGTAATAGTTTGGGATACATGTGCGGGGTCGTAGATGCCTGCACTCTCAGCCCCTCCCACGCGACTTCCTTGTACGACCTGACCAGTCGTTTTAACATGGATCTAGTACTGTTATCTATCCGAGTAGTACAATTGCCTGTAGAGGAGATGCTTCTTTGTAGATACAGTCTGGGATTATATAATTTTTAGGTGCGCAAAACTTTTCCTCAATCATCATCATCATAAAAACGCATAGTCATCGAGCATGTATCAATGATGATTTGCAGATCAAACGTTTATTATCATCATATATATACATCATCAAAGATGAAAAGAGATCAAGTCTCACTTGTTAAGCCTCTTAGCCCTCTCCGGATCCCTCCACCAAGCACATTGCTCCATCCTAATAGCCGTGCCTTCATCCTCCATCATCGAGCCACCCTCAGTCGGGGGGTTGATAACAAGCTGCCTGCCGCCAGTACCCTCGTACTGTTCCCACTTGGGGCTGTAACCCAAGCTGTATGTGTTTGGGTCGCCACTGACAACGAAGCTGGCCCAGTAGGCACTGTACATGTCGGCAATCTCAGGGTACTGTGTGTTTGCCTGTCCGTTGAAGTATGAGGAGTCACTCGCGTGCGGTACACCCAGGTATGTCGGCGCCCAGTTTGGTGTGTTGAAGCGCGCTTTGTATACGGGGGCGGAGGTAGAGGCCATGACTGAGGCAGTGTCTTGAACAGGGCAGATGTAGGAGTAGTCGCCGTAAGCTGCGGATACGCGAGCGAATTGGTCCGAGACGTAACCTAGGGTTCCCTGTTGGGGCTTGACATCTGGGTACAAGGTCTCGAGATCGGCGAGATCTTCCGGTGTGAGGCCGGGAGTGAGGGTCTTCCAGAAGTTGAGGTACTCGGCGTTGGTACGGAGGTCTTGGGGCGCGAAGCCTGTGCCTTCGTCGGTCACGGATGAGATGAGCATCGGGATGTTGAAGAACGTGCCGTCTTCGCCGGAAGTTGAACCGCGCTTCTCAAGGAGGGGACCGGGAGAGACGGGTTGCCAAGGCCAGGTGATGTTGTAGTTGTGGGCGTTGTATAGCGAAGAAGACATGAACTGGATGTCATCGGCCTCTGCGGCGCGGAGACAGTCCAGAGCGGCTGAGCTGGGCGACTCTGGGCAGTTTAGGTAGTCCATGATGTCTGCGACTTGCTTCTGGTAAAGAGGGTAGTCGACACCTGGGAAGGCGCGGGCGGTTGGTGAGCCTGAGGACAAAATGGCCTTGCTGAACAAAGGCTTTCCGGCATCCTCTGCGTAGTTGTGGAAAAGGTGGATACCAACCGAATGGCCGCCGGCACTTTGACCGGCGAGCGTGATTTGGTCTTTGTCGCCTCCAAAGTCGCCGATGTACTTTTGCAAGAACTCCAATGACATCTTCTGATCGCGGATACCCAGGTTGAGAAGACCCTCCTCTTGCATGAACTTGGCTGGCAAGCTGCCGAGCGCACCCAGGCGGTACTGAACGGTGACAACCATAATAGGCTCGGGGCTCTGCTCCACGAATAGCGGACCGTCGAAGCTGCGGTGAGAACCCGAGACGAACGAGCCACCGTGCAAGAAGACCATGGACGGGAGCTTCTGGTCCATAGGGATACCCGAGGGTCGGTATACGTTGATGGTGAGGCAAGCTTCCGACTGCCCGAGAGAGCCGTACATGTTCTGGAAGCAAGCCGGTCCAATTGATGTCGCATCCTTTGTACCATCGAATGGTTCGGGCCATGTTACTGGCATAAACCTTCCGTGGCCAACAGGCTGTGTAGAATACTCAACATTCATCCACGCATCCACTGGCCGACTGAGAGTCTCCGTCTTCTTCAGGTTCATGAGAAGCTGTGTTCCCTGGAAAGACCCATACTCCGGCAAGGTGACGAGAAGAGAACCGTCTGGCGTCTCATAACTCGGAGGGTCCGGTCGTTGGGGTGTACCAGGCTGGTATGGCCTGGCCTGGCTGAAAGCGCCAAAGTACCAGAATAGCAAAGCAGTGCTACCGGAGAAAATCATGATGATGGCTAGCCTTCTCTTCCACCATCGCGGGGAGAAATGGGTTGCTTTCATAGTATTTTCTTGCTCCCGTACTTCTGCCGATGGCGGTGCAGGGAGTCGGTCCGCCATGGGTGCCGACTGGCGCTATCGGCAACGGATAGCGGAGAGACTGCGGGGATGCAGGCGATGTGACTATTGCTACGGATAATCTCACATGCGCTTATTCGTGTTGGCGCTAGCTTGCGGTCGTGATGGGTACAACGTTGGTGTTGAAGGGTGAGAACGGCACGTGGCTGGCGAATAATGACGTTGCCGAGCCACGATAGGGCACTACCGAGTCAAGATATCGGTTGTGCAAGGGTGTCCGGAGCCATGTTGTGAACTTGCATCTTCACTTGCCTCCGAAGCTTACCCCCATAAAGATTACTTTCCCTCTCCAAGGCGCTTGAGTAAAGGTCCGTGGAGGCAATTTTCTCTCGTCGCCCGCTCACCGGACGCAGCTGGGCATCCATGATGATTACGTGCCTGTATTAGTACGGCACGGCTGCAGAACAGAGCTGCAGAACAGAACTGCATCGCGCAGGAAGATCGCACATAGACCCTATCCTCCCAGTCTGCTTTTGGGATGATCAGCTCATTTCTATTGGGAAAAAGCTTTTTGAGTTCACAGCGAAGCAATAGATTGTGGCGTCCGGAGGAGGAGAAAGCATCTGCACCCCGCAAGCTAACGCAGACTAATCACAGTGTTGGCGGCCTCGCGCGGCAAATGTTCTGGGTCCGAAAAGTAACAGGCGCCAAGGCTGCGCTTTGCATTGATATCTTCCTTGTTGAATCCAGAACAAAAGTTGGAGTACTTCTAGCGTCCCCCACCTCCAGTGTCAATGCACACAACCACACAATCTCCCATCTCTGCCTACTTTCCCTGCTCTGCGGCCTCCTTTTCCACGGCATCCGCCATGTCGGCCAACGTGTCGAACTTCCAGTTATATACAGGATCATCGCGGTTTCCCATGACCGCACCCGGCCTGTAAATCCATGAACTCTTGATTCCCATGTCCTTTGCTGGGTGGTGGTCGTGATATTGAGATTGCGCCGTTTGCAGCACCTCGTGCTTCTCGACTCCGAATTGCTCCTTCACTTTGGCCAGCATGTATTCGAAATTCCTTAGGTCGGGCTTGTAAGATCCGATGTCTTGGGCGGTGTAGACGGCGTCGAACTTGTATCCCTTGAGCCCGTTCGCATTTCCGATCTTGAATGAATCATGGTCGACGTTGGAAAGAACGACAAGCTTGAAGTACTTGGACAACCTCTCCAAAGCAGATGGTATATCAGCAAATCCAGGCCAGTGTCCGATACTCGCTCCAAATGCTTTGTTCTCTTGTTCACTGGGCTTCTCCAGACCAAGTTTCTCACACAACTCAGGAAGCACCATGGCGAGTACCTCTGAGTACTTGAGATGGCCGTGTTCGCTCTCAACTCTGGCCTCGATCTTGTGCATGACTTGCATAATGTGCTTGCGATCCATGTTCTCTTGACCAGACTTCTTAAGATGGGGCTGGAGGGCGGTCAAAGCGCCCGCCTCCCAGTCTATCAGGGTGCCATACACATCGAAAGAGAGGAGCTTGAAGTCGGTAAGCTTGGACATGATGGTGTTTGGTGTGTTGTGGAAAGATAAAATTGTGTTTGGGTTTGAGACACTTGAGACAACTGAGATTTGTAATGATGGTTTTGAAAGCGATGTTGGCGATTATATACCGCATCATGACTGTACAGTTGAAGTTGCCCAGAGCCTCTTGGAACCCCACTTGGTACTATGACGTTAGCGGGGCACCACAACACGCCCTTCAAACTACATGCTGGGGTTGCGACGATCAAGACTGTGATAGCAGCTTATAGGTCTTGATCTAGACGCTGCATACGCTTTGTAGTGGGATATGACCTTGCTTTGGGGTTGAGCTTTGGGTTATGTAACGCGTCATACACATAGCTGGCGCGTGAGTCGCGTTTAGTTCGTCTCCCTTCCATGGAACTTGAGTATGTGGCATCGTTCATTAGACGCAAGTGTGATAAACTGTGGAGCGTATCTAACAAGCACCTGAGTCATAATCGGACATTATCCATCCAGAATCGGACCGCTATTTACCCTCGGTCTACGCAGTGTTGACAACTTCAGTTTTCATCTCGTATGGCAAGCTATCAATCTTCGACTCCAGGACTTCCTTGGTTAGCCTCCACAAGTTTCTCTGCAACTTCTCATCCCTGGCCTGCTTGGACGCTTCTTGGACCTTCTTATCAGGAACGATGTAGGAGTTCTGTTGGCAATTAGCTTGAGTTTCTGATGAAGAGGACTTCCAGAGTCGACTTACTTGAATCTGCTCCTTCGGAACATCGGGCGACGCTGCGGCAAACAAGGCTGGGCGACACCCCTCCGCTACTGGGTCTTTCATGAACGGTCGCA